CTCATGGCCAAACTCTTTAAGCTCAAGCCCTCTGCCTGTCCTTACAGGTTGCGCAAGAACTTGCAAGGATTCGAAAGGCTAAGTTAAACTCGAAGCCTTCTAAAACTCATTGAGTTTCAGCTTCCATCTCGATCACACTCCCAAGTCCATGCTCTTTCGAGCCTTTGGGCGCGAAGGCATCGCAGGCTCCTCTCGCAATGGCAGCTCTTCATTCATATATAGTTAGTTTCCATTTTCTTTTCCATTATCCCTATATAACCCCTGTATAGTATAGTAGTTTCATGAATCATGCATGTCTTGCAAATGGTGCTCCCTAAACAAATGCTTCTCGTAGCTCAGGCCGACAGCAATGCAGTACACGCGCCTGAGCGCAAACGGCTGGCCTAAGAATGATCTGCAGCAGCGGCATCTTGCTCTGCCCTGATATCAACTATTCTACACTGTGACTCGTTGTTGAATTGGCCTAGGGTCACGCATAGGATGGCACTAGTTTGCACCTGCATGTATTGCAACAATGTGAAGCCTAAACGCAACAACCATCCCCTTCAGCTTCCATTCAAGATCCAGAGGGCTCCTTCGCCTCCCATTGGCCTTTGTGACTGCTGAACGCCCCATGGACTTGGGAGTGTTGTCTGAATCTGGCTTCTGCATGGCAACTCCCAACCATCCCCAACGAAAGGTTCATGTGGCCATAATCCTCCTCTGGATTCCAGAATGTCATGGTGTGCTCTTGCGTGACTTTCCATGAGCACTCAAAACCAAACCCTCAGCCGTAAGCTGAACACCATACCCCAAACACTTGAACTATGAAAGAAGTCTACATGTCGTCACGTCCTCGCACGTAAACACCTGCCTACCACTAGGCCCTTGAGAACCCTCTGAAACACTTTTCACAACTTTGCTTACCGCGTCTACCCATGGCAGCCTCCCCTTGCAGAATTGAACTGACAGCCTGAGTCCACAAGAAGTCTCCTGGGGGCGTTCCTTCTGCGCTGCGGCATTCGCTTCTTTTTGGGCCTCCAGGCTGAGCAGATGGCCACAATACCATTTATAGAGAGCATGATGATTATAGCGGGAAGGAAGTGCAAGGAGGAGTGTGGGCTGGCAGAGGAGCAGGAAAAGATCGTGAAAATACCAGCGCTGAGGTGGGCGAAGTTTCGACCACCGGCGAAAGCTGAAGATCTTCAACCCTCAAATCCTCTTGGAGTCGCCCCTGGGGCAGCCGATGTGCATTCCAAGTTGAACCCGGAAAAAACTTTATTTAAGGGACATAAATGAGAGACGATCGTGATTTGAGACGGACTCGCAGAAGGAAGGTCAAGGCCAAGAGCAAGCACGACTAAGAAACAGAAGCAGCACACACGCCAGAAAAGGAGGTCACCCAAGTGGCTTTTCGGGCGGCAAACACTATAAACCCCAAACCTTAAACCCCAAACCATAAACCCCATAAACCCTAAACCCAAAGCCCTAGACCCTAAAGCCTAGACCCTATAAACCCCAAACCCTACAAACCCTACAAAACCCTACAAACCCCCATAAACCCCATAAACCCTAAGCCCCTTTTTGTCTGGTCACCTGAGGAGCCACGGCCTCCTGCTCCTCGGAAGCGGCTTGCGCCGCTTCTTCGGCCTGGAGCTGGTCCATGAGGCCCTGGCGCACTTGAGGCTTTCAGGGGTTAAGAGTGTTTAGGGTTTGGGGTTTAGGGGTTTGGGGTTTAGGGGTTTGGGGTTAGGGTTGAGGGTTTAGGAGTTTAGGGTTTAGGGTTTTTTGGTTTAGGGTTTGGGGTTTTGGGTTCAGGATGTAGGGGTTTAGGGTAGGGGATTATGTACCGGATTATATGGGGATATAATCATACTACTCCAATAATGGAAAGTTGCGTGGACAAGCAATGGAAAATTCGCTAATGGACATGGACAAGAAATGGAAAATTGAATGAAAACTGGGTTCATTCAGAAGTCATTTAGCTTACCTCTTGTTAGTACGGACTGAAAGAATGAAGAGAAAATGCAAACTACTATGATTGGGGATTACATAGGGACTAGTAGAAGGGTCCGTTCCTTCATTGCTTGCTAACCAGAGGTATGCTTCGAGGTTTGGGATGTAGTGGTGTAGGGTTCGAGGCTTTAAGGTCAAACTGTTTACGGACGTAGAGTCTGGAGAGGAAGGAGGGAATGGGGGTTGAGAGGTCTGGCTACTGTTTAAATTGAGATTCAAGGTTGACTGGGAAGGCTTATGATGTTACAGTGGGTTAGGGCGTCAAGGCTGTGAAGGGTGACTGGCGGTTGAAGTCTTGATTGGGCAATTTCATGCTGAGGGGCTAGTAGGGACCATAGAAGATCAAGACTGCCCGCAGAAAAGTGAGACTGCAAAGAGGGTTTGAGACGGTAAGCCTTAACAAAGCAAAGAAAGCTCCGTACTACACAAGCAGATCAAAGGATAAAATGGCCTCCATGGTACTGGCCCCTAGGCCCAATGGCCCCACGGAGGGCACAGGCCTACCCCTCAACCCGCCGAATAGCCTAATATCAAATATCCCCACCACATGATATACTACCACAATGAAAGTATTTCTGGCCACTTTCCCCTACTCCCCAGGAATCTTATCATGCCTTCAGGCTAGCCGCAGCGAGGGCATAGGAGGCTGCAGAAAGAAGAGTAAGCTTTCGCCCTTACATGATGGTGTTGCTTTCTTAAACAGAAATCAGTATCAATCAGCCCTCGAAAGCTATTAAAGCAAAAATCTCTTATCGCCCCTAGGCCGGAGCCCCCTAAACCTTTAAATGCCCTGTAGCCCCACAACCCCAAACCCTGAACCCTGAACCTTAAACCCTAAACCCTGCCTGAAACCGGGCATCCAGCTCAGGATCCTTTCCGTGATCATCAGGGTCTTAATGGAGCCCCCTCCCCCACATGGGGAGATATGCAGGCTTTCCCAAAATTAGAGGTTCTATAAATTCTATTGGGATAGAAAGGGTTTAGAGATTATTGCTTAGGGAGTAGGATTTAGGGTTTTGGTGGTTTCCCAAAATTAGGGGTACCTTTAGAGTGAGATATAGGATTTATACAGGGCTATCTAGGGTTTAGGGATTAGGGTTTAAGGTTTCCCAAAATTCGGCCTACCTGTTTTTGGGCCCCTATAACAAGGATTATAAATTATAATAGTTTGGGCTCTACATTGGGGTCCACCTGTTTCGTGAAACTACGAATAAGAAAACCGCCAACCTCTATAATGAGCACTCAGCACCCCAATAGCAAGCCATACTATATTTAGGGGAACATTTGTTGGAGAGTTATTGTTGTTAGGGAGAAGGGATGACTTCACAAGGTTTAGGCTTCTACGGACCCTTCCGAAGAAGACCTTTACGGAAAGGGGTTTAAGGGCAACGGGTTCAGGATTTAGGTAAGCGACTACTAGGGGATGGACAAGTAGCAGCAGGGTGAGCAGCATCAGCTCAAGACAAAAAGCATCCGTAAGATTGACAAGCTGCGGTCCCCTTGCAGTTGCTATGTGAGCTATAGTCTACACTCCTACTATTCCTCTTAATAACCCCTATAGTAATCCCCTATATAATCCCCTATACAACCCCTTTTGAGGGAGTTTAGACTATACTTCATGTCAGATCTGCTGCAATGCATGACTCAACCTCGAAGCCTTAGCCCCTCGTTTCGCCGTTTGTTGATCCCTTAACCGTAAAAGAAAACCCCTAAACCCTGCTCCTACTGGTGCTGAGTAGGGAAGAAGGGAATATAATTCTGCACAATTCCTACATACCATGTACCCTTATTCCCTATTGACCCCCCTAAGTAATACTAAAAAACAATCTAAATCATCACTATCACTAAACCTCTCTCCCCGGATCCCAACCCCTAAATCCCACACACCGAAAAGTAATTACAATAACGATAGTAATAACAATACGAGTACTAATAATCATAGTAGTAATAACAACGATGGTAATCATCATCATCATCATCAGCATCATGCGTTCATTTGCCTGCTCCTCGTCGGCTTCCATGGGCTGCACTTCCTGTCCATTTCGGATGCTGGCTGGTGGTGTGTGGCTTTGGGCTTAGGATGTTTACGGAAAGTTTGGGATTTGGGGTTCAGGATTGGGTGATGACGGCTTAGACTTCTAGATTTAGGATTGGACTGGGGCTTGGCCTGCTTTCACGCCTTCGACACTCCGTCCGTTGCACTTTACAGGGATGGACTTGGGGAGTCTATGGTGACAAAAAGGGTTGTATGAGGATATTGTGGGGACTCTGTGGGAAGAGTGAAGGGATCATGATATTGCGGGCTCGGGGGGGATACAGATTCTTTTCTGGAGACTGCGGGTATCAGGATTACGGGAGTTTGGACTGGAAGAGTTCAAGGTTCTTGTGGTCTAAGGGTGGTTGAAGAGCTGAAACTAAGTACGGGTTGACTTGAAGCATAGCCTCAAGTCAAAGCCTCCATGTACTTCTAGGGATTCTGGGGATGCTGAAGATCCAACTTCCCTGTCCATTAGCCCTGAGAAAGCTGGTGAGGAAACTGCATTGTAGCGGAAAATGTGCATTGGGACATTCGAGCTTCGGCCGGGGAAGTAGCTGGAGCGCCGGTCAGGCAGGCAATGATTATGGCTTGCAGATACTTGAGTCGAGTGAATGCGTAGGCCCCTTCACCTGTTTTCAGGGATGCCACCCGTACATGGAGTGACAGACAGAACACTGAACAAACTTCTTGACCTCAGTATTTACCTTTATCCATTTGGGGTCCTGATTTCTTATGTCGAATACCTGCCGAAAAGAGGATGGCTTGAAAGGAGGGGAGGATAATGATGACAACAAAATGCCCACCTCCTTAGAGTATCCAGAGAGGTTTCCTGGGTTTCCTGTGTCACTGAAACTGAACCCTCAATTAAACCCTAGCGCCCACATCCCAACAAAGCAACTTGTCCGGGAATGCTGAATGCCACATGGTAAACTCTGCATCCCGAAATCTGCCCCCGAACCCAAAAGTCCTCCTCCTCCGCTCCTTCGGCGTAGCCCTCTTCGTAACCATCTTCGGCATAAGCCTCCTCCTGAAGCATGAACAGGTCAGGCTTCAGCCATTTCAAAGGCCCCTCCTCTGGGAGGAATGAGGGTCCAGTTTGGGGAGACTATACTGCTATGTAAGTATTTAAAGGTCTTCCTCACACCAAGAACTGCCCACATGTGCCCTAGTTAAACGCAGCCCTTAGGTATTTTCTGGCATGTGACTGAATAAGAAGTGAGAGCACAAAAAAAGGCGACCAAGGATCGCCTGCAATGGGAAACAACTTTGTTAGGAGGTGGTGTTCTTCCAAGTCCTCTGTCGGCAACATCATCTCCAAACCAACGTAAAGTCTCTCTTCTTGTGAACCACTAAACAATTTCATACAAAATCCTTCTCGGGGAGTCACGCATACTGCCAGGAGAAGAAACCCAAAGAAGGAACGCCCCCTGTTCGGACCTCTTATCTGGGCCACAAATACCTCACAAAGGATCAATGCAAGTCTCCGTATCCAAACTGCAATGTAACTTCTTTGGCTCCTGACTATCGTTGCAATTCTCTGGGCAGCTCTGTGAAGGTCGGGAGTCTAGAATTCTAGAATCTCCCCTGCTCCTGAGTCCCTGGTTGCAGACGTTTAGCCAGTGTGGAGATTTTCCAAATCCGTCAAAAAAGATGTCCTCGTCGCCTTCAGCAGAGTCGTACTCCATCTGACCTGCTACCACATGTTCTCTTCAAACTGCCATGCCATGGGGAGCCTTCAAAGCACTTTGAACTTAACAGACCAAAATTTTGAAGTATCCCCGAGCCGCAGCATACCACCCTTATTTCAGAAGTCTTCGGGAGAACCGATTGGGAATCATCGAGGCCCGGACAGTATTTGGCTGCGACTTGGGGCTAAGGGCTGTAGGGGCTTCCTGCAAATGGAGGTCGCACATATGGAGTTTGCCTTCATCAAAGGTCTAACCCACAAATATCAACAGTTGCTGCCAATCGGCATGCGAAAATCAATGCCTGATGCAGGAACCTGAAGGATTAGGAACATTCTCCCCTGTATTATAGGGGTAATATAACTTTCGCAATGCTGCTGTAGCACGTACCCCGAATCCCCCGTGTTCAAATGATGAAGCCGTTGCAGTACCTTTCAGCTACACAGCTTTCTCACAAGCAGAAACATTGAGCCCGGAACACTGCACCCTTAACCCTACACCCAAACCTGTTCAATCCTAGCAAGCCCTGAACCCAAACTCCGAACCGCGGGCCCCAAACCCTGAAGCCCAAACTCTGAACCTTCAAGCTCCATGGACTCCTCCTGAAGCTCCTCGGCCTTCCCCAAGGTTCATCAGGATTAGGATTGACAGCTAAAGGCTTAGTGAATGGGATGTAGGCTTCAAAGTTTCAAGGTTTAGGTTTCAGGGTTTCAGGGTGTCAGGGCTAGGGTTCGAGATTGAGGGTCAGGAGTTTAGGATTTAAGCTTCAGACTTAGGGTTATCAGGACTTGGGAGCTCTAATAACACAACACTGGGTTGCTGTTAAGGAACTTAAATTAAGTTACCATAATGGGTGTATATAGTAAAACAACAGGTTTCCCAATATAGTAACTTAAATTCAGCTCCTTAACAGCAAGCTAGAAAAGAGTCTGATGGCACAATGTTTAGAAAGGTTTGGGCTCATGTATTTGCATCAGGGTTTGGGGATGTGAGGATGCCAGGCAACCTCATGCTCTTCAATGTTTCGGGTTTAGGGTTCAGGGGTCTAGCCCTAAACCCTAAACCCCAAACCCTAAATCGGGTTGTTCCCCAACTGCTCCCCTCCCTAACCACGCCTCCCCTCCAATGACATTGTAATTTCAATTTCGCGCTCTGACGAAGAAAGTCTCAGGGCCGATACTTTAGCAAGCTACAGGGACCCTAAACCCTAAACCCCTAAAGCCTAAACCCCTGAACCCTAAACCCTAAACCCTAAAACCCTAAATCAGGTGCTTTGTCTTGGGGTTTAAGGTTGGCGAACATTATGCTCCTCTCATTCCGGACAGAACTTCTCAAAACCTGCCTCCAAGGGTATTATGCGATGCAGGCTCGGGTCCCTTTGTCTCAGGATGCTAAAGGTTGTTAAAAGTGAAGTCTTACTCTTGGGGTCTTGGGGTTTGCAGCCTTCCGGGATACAGCCTGTACTAGCCCTAAACCACAGGACCTGAAACCCTCAAGCAAAGCAAAAGCACCCAGGAGGTCCACAAGCCCAGGGCAAACAAAGAATCTTAAACGGCCATCCCTGAATGCTACATCCAGAAGCCTGCACCCAAACCCCGGACCCCAAACCCCAAAACCCTTGAACCCAGAACCTAAAGTCCCAAAAGCCAAACCCTAGACCCCAAACCCTAAGCCCAAAACCCCAAACCCCAAACCCTTAACGCCTGAAGGTCCTCGCCCTCTGCTTCGGCCTCCTCTTCCCCTAAAGGCTCCTGCATCAGGATATTTGGAATATATAGGGATGCAATTACATAGGGACCAGGGCTTAGGAATGTGGATTATATGGGGATACATAGGGGTGTAGATGTGCATTAGAAAAGAAAAAAGAAGCTACGATTTTGGATTTAAGGTATGGGGATATATAGGGATATATTACCGCAATAATGGAGAATCTATGGAAACATGATGGAAATGATATGAATACTGGGTTTATAATGGAGTTTGTAAGGACGGGACTCAAGGGCTTTCAAATGTCAGGGCTTAAGGGGCTCTGCATCGGGGCTCAAGGCCTTTTGGGTGTTAAGGGGTTGGGAGAAAGTGTGGACTGAGGATATCCTACCCCAACCCTTAACCCTCAACCATGAACTTCGGTAAGGTTGGGGTTACCAGATTAAGATATGACAGGACTTGGTTCATAGTTTATACGTTCTAATTTTTAGACTCTGCTAGGCTGAGCCCATAGAATCTCGACAAGAACCCCTCTCTCACCGTCTCCCTGCCCTAGATTACAGACACCCTGCTTCGTAAAATCCTCAAAACCCATCTCTAGATACCCTGAACCCTATATCTCGCTTATATTCTAACACCTAGACCAGAAGCTCTCAAATCCAGTACCACATTGTGAAAGCGTACAATCTGCGCAGAATCTGTAATAAAACTTTAGCCATGAAATCCTTAACGGACGGTCCTCAGTCTCGGGAAGGACCTCGCCGGCCATCTCCTGCAGGTACTAATGACTGGAGAAAACTAAATTATTACCAATATTCTGGTTCCATGTTCCTTGTAAATTTATGGTGTAGGGTACCTCAAATGGACCTCAAATGGCACAGGTAAGTCTTTGTACAGCCGGAGTTGCTGATACTGAGTGCCGCGGGCGATGCTGTGAGTCTTTGGGGTGCAGAAGCTAATCAACGAGCACTGCTTAAGGATCATATGGATGACATCACACTTGATAGCGGACGGCGAGAAACTCCTTGTTATGGCTACACCCAGGTAGGTAGGTACCTGAAACCAGCATTGACTCGAGGCGTAGTCTTGTTCATCTGGAGGCTTCCACAAGTTCGGGGACCTCGCTTGGGAGCCCCAGATACTACCCTTTAAGCTCCCCCCTTAAGCCCCCTGAAGCCCCCTTAAGCCCACCCTGAAGCACTCCCTTAAGATACTGGGAATTTTCTCTCCGCAGGAATCAGCTATCATCCTGCCTACAAGGTGCTCTTGTAGTGATCTTGGATTCCTGCTCTAATCTGGGCTGCTGTTAAGGAACTTAAATTAAGTTACCATAATGGGTATCTTTAGTAAATAATAGGGTTCCCCCAATATAGTAACTTAACTTAAGTTCCTTAACAGCAACCCAGTAATTTGAGGGTTTTGGGTGTCGGGGCTCAATCATGGGCTTCAAGGTATTCTTCATCTGGGCTTTGGCGGGTTCTATGTTCCAATGACAGGGGAGGCCAAGGCACCCAAAACCCTAAAACCTAAATCCAGAATCCTAAACCCTAGGCCCTAGACACCAGACCGCGTGGCATAGGCTCCGAAGAAAAGCTTTCAGTTCTAGGTTGAGGCTTGCTTGCATTGTTGCCCAGGACATCTACAGGCACCCCACGCCTCCTGTTGCCTGTACACATAATCCCCTGAACCTGCATTACATTTTTCGATAATGGGATATAGGGTTTAGGTTTTAGGTTTTTGGAAAGGAGAATACAGAGTCGAATAAAAAACGGGCAAGTGTCATGGAAACTGAGATTAGATGACGCTTGGACTAAAGCTCTCGCATATTCCTTAATGGGACCCCTGTAGGTTCTCCCAACCTAACGTCACGTCAGTCCATAGCTCATATTGCGAGGGGAGTTGTTCAAAATAACTGTCCCCTAAAGGGCCAAAGTGGAGGTTCGCTTTGTGGAAAGGATCCCCCAGTCAAGGAAGTGCATTCCCAATGGTCCTTTCTGTACAAGGACCTTTAGAACAATCCCATACGGTAGTTTCCCCAAATAGGGGCTCCCCAATATAGACCCTAAAATACTATAGTCCTAATTATTGGGACCCCCAAAATGGTACCCCTAATTTGGGGAAACTCCCATGCAGGGTTCAGAGGGGCTTGGAGATCTCCCGGGATAAAAACCAGCCTGCCACTGTCACAACATTGCTTCCTTCCCATCCACGCAAAGAAGAGAAAAACATCATTTCCACGTTGCAATGTAGAAACCCAGAGCCCAAGCAGTAGAAAGGATCTATGAGGCTTTAAAGGGACCTAAGATGCCAGATGAAGAAGTGGACCAAGGGTGGGCAACCAGCGAGAACCCTAGCGTCCTCGTCTCCAGCTTCCTCCGCGCCAGCATCCTCATCCATGTCCTGCTGGACAGTTTTGAAGAGGCCTTAGAGTCCTTGCGGAGTCCTTACAGAGGCTTCGCTACTTGCCAAGCGCTTGCTAAGTGCTCACTATACCCCTAGAGCACATGGGGGAAGGGCATCTAGAGGGCAGTAAACTGTGCGGAATGGTTCTAATTTATTGAAACAAGGATCGACCTGTAGGGTTTGACTTGAAGGGCTGGCTGTGTTACAATTCCACCCAGGAGCGAGAGCAGTTTCAGATTCCGGGAGAATCCATCTCTTCAATGCGAATGGCATGGGCAGTTGCATCCTGGGCAATTGCCATCAGAAGTTGCACCATCACTACAGTTGTGAACTGATCATCCATGTCAATCTCGTCACATGTCATGTGATTCGTACCATTGCTTGCCTGGCCCTAAACCCTAAACCCTAAACCCCTAAACTCACACGGCAAAGCCCGGCCCTTCCAGCCTCATGCTTGAGGTACCTGGCACATAACTCATTCAGGGCAGCGGGTTCAGGGGGAGCAAGCTATAGTCCCCCTTGAGTAGGTAGAATATGGCTTTGGGTATACTATAATAAGATCTATGCATACCCCAATTTCTATCTACTTAAGGGGGACTATAGGGTTCAGGGACTTTGGGCTTCAGACCTGGGATGTAGGGAGGGCTACAAGCTAAATAGTCCAGAAAGTCAAGTGATCTGGAAGGTCTCATAAGGTAGCAGCTTACAGGGTTTGAGAGCTCTGGGGCTTCCAAGGTGTATAGCCCGCTTCAGTAGATAGAATATGGGGTATATGGGGATCTTATTATAATATACCCAGAGCCATATTCTATCTGCTTAAGGGGGACTATAGCATCAGAAATTCCAAACTTTTGTTCATGACTTGCTGAACAGCTTCAAACCTGGAGCATTCTGACGGTGCCCATGGTGCGGATCGTTTCGGTTTCATCCATGAAGCTTGGGCACACCGCCGCTCAGGACGGCACTCAACATTGTTCTTTGGGGAGAGGTGTGGCTTCAGCATACAACCACCAGTGTCAAGGTACATCTGCATGTGCAAGATTTCTGCTAGCGTGCTAAAGGTGTCTACAACCTCTTCCGCGGTCTTCCTAGTCAGAAGGGAGGGAAAGAAAGTTCTCGTTTCACCTACGTCCAACCTGATGCGGGACAGCTGAGGCCTGGTGTGGCTACAGATCCCTGACTCCTGGAATCACAATCGCATCAATACCTTTGCCCTCTTGCTTCCCTTTATAACATCATGGCTAGGGTCAGCACCGTCACGATGGATCCTTGAATCCTTATCGTGCATTGCCGGCATTGGTCTTATCATACCTCAAAGGCTCGAACCCCACACTTGGAGAGGCTCAGCATGCGCCTGTTGATGAAGGAGCCCGCAGAGAAATCATTTCCAGCCATGATCAACAAAGCAGTCTCTCCGGCTACAGTTCAGTTCTGCGAGCTGAAATAGGAAGTTAATCGGTTAGTCAGCGTATGACCTGTATGATCCCTCCTCTGCTCAACACTGCTTTTTATGTGGGTTGCAACTAGGCGCTCCGCTTTTGCTGTTGCTGTTCCTTGTCCCATTGTGCTGTAGTGTGTGCGGGTGTGAGATTTAGTCTGTTTTTGAATGTGAGACTTAACTCGTTTTGGGTGGGCTGTTGGGGTGATGCGGTTGGAGTCAGGGTGCAAAGTGCGTTGGTGCAGTGAAAGGCCAGGCCCAGAACCTGAGATCATCGAAGATGGTGTCATCCATACTCACCCAGAGGCTACTAGAGTAATACTAAGTACTAATAGCAAACATAATAACACCAAGAACAACCAAAAAAAAAAGGATGTTCGTTAGTGTATGCGTGAAAGCACACACACACACAATCACTGTCATGGGCCAGTGTATGCCATGCAAGCTCCAGCTGTGAGCCTTGGCACCGCAGAGGGGCCGCAGACGCAGAAGAAACAACGTGCTGACTATGCGCCATCGAAAGGTGCGCAAAGCACCTTCAAGAAACAACACAGTGGTCACGTTGTCACTGCAACGTCGAGGCGCTGGTCTCCCAAACAATCTGGTCTGGCGAGCTTGAAACTCTTTCAAGCAAGCAGCTAGAGCAGCACAGATAGGGTTCTATAATTCATTGCATGTAGCAAGCCAGCTAGAAAGTAACAAGTAACCCAATACAGCAATTTACAGAAGCCTGACCCCGGATGCTGGGGTTCCCAAACCGTCCCATAGAGGAGAGGGATGGGCCACGAAAACTGGAAAGGTTGGGACAGGAAGGGGCATGGAGTCTGCCAGGTGAGGTGAGGAGGAGCGGGGATGGGGCCGCGAGGGCTAGAAGTCCCCAAAGACCTTTTTGGAACATGTGGGAGCTTGAGGTGACCCCAGATGGTAAACTAAGTGACAAACCACACCATAGTTTGTCTTCTGCCCTTCATGCTTTGGAGTGAGGTTGGGAGTAACTAGCGACTGCTGATTCAAGGACACGCCCAACATGCTTTTTGACCTGTTCGCGTCTCCCAGCACCCAGGAGTTCCTTGCTCATCTTAGGTGGGCGAACTCCAATCATGTACAGGACAAGGGCTGGAACGACCAGCACTAGGTAGTCAGGCAGATAGTCAGGCCAAAAGCAACTCCCCTTTGCAGGGCTCCGGGAAGGTTGATGCTAGAGGCTCAGGACAAATAAGCCGCACAAGACTTCCCAGCTGTTCCGAATGACTTCAAACATCTTCAAGCATTCCGGTTTCTGCCCCTAGCTGACCTCACCACCTAGCACTCGCTGTACAGCTACGAGGTTCTCGCTGGTGCTGGAAGGTAAGAAAGAAACAGGCCATAGACTCGTCTGGACATTGTCACCCAAGAATTCAGGTTTAGGGCTTCGGGTTAATTATAGGGATTATGTAGGGATTATGGATACCCACAAGGTGGGGATCATGCTGGGGCTCCATTCTCTCCTTCCCACTTCAGCAGCCTGCGATCATGCCCCTCGCTGGGCGACGGGTGCTTGGAGCACGATACTGCGCGCGCTCCGAGCAGAAAAGGGCACACCACAGAAGTGAATTCTGTCCAAGGATGTCCTACTTGCCACTATCAAAATTCCATACCATTACACCACCGGAAGAGGCAATCTGGAAGCAACGTAGGAGTCAGAACGATGCAGATGTGGTCTTGGAGCTCTGGAAGTTGTTATGCAGGATGTGCACATTTTCGAGGTCAAAAGCTCAGCAAACCCGACGCACTCATTGAGGTAGGTTATCTAGATCTGACATGCGGGAGCCCGGGTTTCGCATTGTTGCTGAAAATCAGCAATGACTAGATGGATGGTTGATTACCTCTCCCACTGTCACAGACCGCTTCACGTTGAGGACCCAGACGCCGGTGCCTGGGTCAGGGCTTCTCTGGGCGATTGTCACAACTATGCTCGTGGCTCAGATAGCGCTATTGGACTCTGCCCGCTAGTGGATTGAATCAGCAAGAGTCCATCGGACAGCATACCTAGAAAGTTGTTTCAGAACACATGTACACTACAGAATCTCACTTAACATTTACGGCTTTGAATGAAGCACTTCGCGATTCACCCTTGCAGCACCCTAAGCTACGCATGCATAAGGATTGTCCTGTGAGCAGCGAATCAGAAAACAACAAGCTTCTTTAAAAACAATGAAAACTTGGTGCAGCACTCACAAAGTGGAGACTCGGGTCGTTCAATGTAAACAGAAGGTCTTGTGCACCATGTAAAACCTCAGACTTCCTTAAGCACATCAACAGAAACTTGTGCATAAGCCATAAACAACGCACACAGCATAATGGTAATACACACCCTTGTGCACCTGACAAAGCCTGATACAAACCCCAAACCCTGATCCCAAAGCCCTGAAGCCTAAGACCCACATAAACCAAACCATCGAACCGCCCATAAACTCTAAGCCTTACATCCTAAACTCAGTCAACCTGAGGCCGAAAACACTAAAGCCCTAATCCCTCAAAATTGAACCCTAAACCCCTATGAACCCCCCCCACCCATGCCCTGAACCCCCAGCCCCCAAAGGCATCAACCCCCATGCCAGCGAGACTCTGCGCTGGCCAAGCGCCGGGCCCAACGCCGAGGGCCAGGAGGTGGCTCGGGCACCGGCCTTCGCATGGAGCTTGATGCCATTTAGGGGTTTCAGGATTGAGGATTTGAATGAGGATGCGCAGGGTCCCCTCTTAAAGGGTACAGGTTCGCTAAACTACAAGGTTTTCAACAGAGAGCGGGGTCCTTGAGGCGGGGTGTTCAAGGGCTTTTCCTTGGAGTTGGGTAATGTGAGCTTCTCATGCATGACAATAAGGGCTCTTCTTGTGCGTGTCAACACTGAAGACCAGAGAACAAAAAGGCAGTCACAAAGCGCGCTGCTGAGAGGCGTGCTCCGCAAAAATGCATGCCAAGCCACTCAGGTATCTCAGGAACAGCTGCGGGGCATGACACCTTGGCTTCGCAAGTGATTCCACATGAGCGATGATGATGTCAGCTTATGTCCCTATGGTAAGACGTGGAAATCTGGCAGAAACATGACGCTGCTGCTCCTTCTTGAGATCAGTATCCTTATAGAGCTTCATAATATGAGCAGTTGTCCAAACCTCTCTCCCAGTTGGGTTCGCCCTAAACCCTAAATAGTAGTATTTCCATTTTCCCAATATCACCAATATATCCCCTATAAACCCCCTACCCACCCAAGTCAGGGCACCCAACAAGCAATGCAAAACTCGTACCATGGCATGGCTCACAGGACTCAGCTGTCACAAAGATCTCTGACAAAATCTCCTGCTTGCAAACCACCTTTCCCTGAAAGTTAGGACTTAGAAATTAAATTTCAGTATATAACAGTATATTGTAGCCCTGCATAGTAGCTTCCATTTTCTTTCCATTGTCCCTATAGAACTATTATATTATATCCCTACATTAAGTCAGGACTACAAATGGAGCGCCCTTGCTATTGGAACACCCAAGATGACACAACTCACAAGTCTTTCCTAAGCTCCATCACCATGTACCCGCACCTAGCCCAAGAGGCTTCAGGGGCCGGCACATCCTCCACTGCTGCAACAGCGCTGAAGGCCCCTGCTTGGGAATAAGCTTTCCAGCTTGAGGTTCAGGGCCTAGGGTCCATAGTTCAGGTTTAGGATTGTGATAAACAAGAAAACAGGTAAGCAAGCAAGAGCCTCACAGTTGCAGGGATTGCGGCTGATAGTTTATGAACATGCGACTGCCTAGCTTTAGCAGACTTGTGCATGCCCCGTGCCGGCAGTGGTACGGGAGTCTAGCCCCTCTGCAACGCAAGACATACGTTTCATTTGAATCTTCGACATGCTCATGAGACTTCAAGTGTCGCGGACATAGAGCTTAACGCTTCTCGATCGGGTTTCAGGACAAGGGGCCGAAGCTGGAAGGCTTCGTGGAAGAGAGTTGCAAGGTGCAAAACCCAAAAATGCATTTTTACGGAATACTCTTCATTATTTGTTCTGCTAAGTTGGGCTTTGTGTACTGCAGCAAGGCTGTGAACGGTTTACGCAAAGCTGGAAGAAGGCCCTCCTATTCTTCGAGCAGGGCTGCCACAAAGACATGCAACTCTCGACCACGAAGCCCAGCCAGAACAAATTGGAGCTCAAAATCAAGACTCATAATAAATGCTCAACAGGACATGGCCCTATGACCTTTTCAACAGTCTCGATGGGCACCTCCAGTTTTGACACAACCTTCCAGCCAAGCCCCACAACAAACACCTATTTTTCCCCCAGCTCCAACGACATTTATGACATGGCTCTACCATTACGGCTACCACTGCTGATTTCACTGCAATCACTGCCACTACTAAGTGTTGCGTCTAGTGATACTGCGACTGCTACTAGAAAGCCACCATATTACAAACGCACCCACCATCACCACCACAACCAGATGCCACAACCTCAGAAGCCACCAACCACCCTGGGCTCTGCCTTTGGCCCCTTAACGCTAAAATGCTTAAACCCTAAACCCCTAAACCTCTAAACCCTAAACCCCTAACCCCTAAACCCTAAATCCAAACTCTGGCCTTCGATTCCGGCTGCTGTTGCTGCGGCTGTGGCGGCCTTTTCCCGGCAATCTGCGCAGAAGCCTTGGAGCTTTGCTCCGAAGGAGGCTCTCAGATTCAAATAATAGTATAAGACTAATAATAGTTCATGATACGACTACTAGTAAAATAACAATAACAAAACAAGATTAAAAAAGAACAGTATAAAAACAACGGTAGCAGTACTAATGATAGTAATGAAAAATCAAGAAGAGTCTAGAGGTTCAACGCCACTGAAACACAGCTAGTGAAACACCAAGTCCTGGTGTCCTCCAAGACCCTGTACTTAGCAGACAGAGTCTCTTTAGCTGGATCATCGATGTCCAGTGATGGAAATTCCAGGACTGCCAAGAGGATAACATGCAGAATGCAGACGATGCAGACTAAAAGCCGCCATCATCGATGAGCTCATGGGAGAGCGAGACATCGCATCCATCGCAGATGACCTGCACGTCGTTCACAGCGGATGCGCTAGCCTCAGCTGACATCTGCTTGATGAGATCTTTGCCTGCTTCATCCTGCTTCTACGAACCAGGGCTTTTTGAAGCCGCGAAACATGTGGAAAAAGCTGCTGCAAGGTAGAGCCCCTACTGGAGGAACTCAAGCACTTGATCAAGATGCTGCCCCTAGTTCCAACTTGAGCCGTGCGAAATCGCAAGCACGTGTCGCTCGGCGCTTACAAAACCTGACAAAGACTCTACAGACACCATGCGTGAGCTCCAAAAAGCGTCTGGCAACATGACAAAGCCCTTAGATGAAACCCAGATACTGAATTATGCAAAAACGTGTGGAACAAAACAATTCCAAGTAGGTTTGTTGTCGTGGGGGATTCGGATTCTGAGGACAAATAACGACCATCCATATTGGGGAGGAAATCAAGGACCCCTATCTCGAGCAGTACCTTTTTCCGACCAGGGGAGACCGCGCTTTCGCATGCCAAGCAGCCGCGGCAAAGAAGTCAGGGTTGCCACCGCAAGTGCCGCCGCTTCCAGTCCAGACGTAGGACGGCGCCGGGCCACCTCTGTGGAAATGTCTTGGAATTAAAGGCACAGACTTAGCGATTGGGGCCACAATAAAATGGAAGGGGTTCTGGGGGCTTGCGTTGGGGATATTGTAGGGAATACTGGAAATACTCCGCTGTGGTAGGTTTTGGGGGTGGAGTGGACCCGGGGTCCGAGTGCAGGGTTTCCAGGGAAATTACAAGGTTCAGGCAGTTCACGCCTGTGCTCCACCGGCCCAATGCACTTTCCAGTTTCCGTTTGGAGGGTGCCTGGACAAGTAGCAGTCTGCACACATGTCCTGTTTGGTCATGGCCTCCGAAGTAACCGCAAACAACGCCAGACAGAGAAGAACCAATGGCAATTGTCTTTGAATCAAATGACCAAGAGACTCCAAGTCGACACTTGCTCCATAAGGCTCACACACGCCTCCACAAACCGGAAAACCAGCTATGCCCTGAATGGTTGAATGGGATCCAGTCCATAATGCAGTGCAAGCCCAGCCTGCGGCGAGTTTGTCTTTGTCTTTGCCATCCTTCAGCTCAAAGGTTCACGGTGTCCAAACCCAAGCTAGGTAGCCCTCCACAGTAGGTCTCAAGGAAAACCATGACCCGATGCAGCTCAAGGGTTGGGGCGACTTAGCAGTATATTTATAAGCCCCAGGTTTACGCCATATGATCATCCCAGCTATCCCCATGATTGACCGACTGTCTAACCCACACCGGAACCCCTTAAAAAAAATGGAACCACCCCAATATGGACCGATTACTACATTGAGCAAACTAGAGGATTATTGGGAGGGGTCCATTTTTGGATCCTCTAGGGGGTCTAGAAAGTCTCCTGACCCTTCTCGCAACTGGCCTTCGTCTTCCCTGCAGCCAGGTTCTCTCGCTGCTCCTCTGCTTGGGCCTTCACCCACTTGTTCACCTGAGATGCGTGTTGCAGCCACCACTTGATTTGATTGTAGGTGTTGATGCTATCACTCTGGGGGTAGCTGTCATTATTACTCCCCTGACTATCCCAGGTGCACAATGGAAATGATTACATAAGTTCGAGGTGCCTCGGTTTCCCAGCACCCCTGTAATCTCAGCAGGTAAGAGTAGAACCAATCCAAACACTTTCAAAATACATTTGGGAAAGAAACACCCTGGAGCTTATGTGCATGTATACATGTGTATACACATATGTACATAAATATATACATATGTACGCACACATATTCAGATTTTGTGAGTCAAAACAAATGTTTACGCATCAATCTGCAAAGGAGGGGCTTTCGGAAACAAGGGTTATAGGATTTGGACGTATACAAGAGGCCCCCGCATTTTTGGAAACTCCCATCTGCTATTCAATCCCTATACCCATGTATAACTCCTATATATAATCCCATATGACCTACATCATCCCCACGTCGGAATCCTAAACTCTAAACCCTGAAACCCTAAGTCCTAAACCCTATAATCCCTACCCCCTAAATAGTAGTTTCCATTTTCTTTTCCATTATCCCCTAATTGTTAGGCATCTTCTGTCCAGCACACATGGAGCAGCTTCGGTCCCAAGCCCGCTTTGGCATCTGAGGAGGCAGATCTGCAGCGGGTCACATGGGTTAGGGGTTTTAAGGTTTGGGGTTTTGGGGGTTTTAGGGTGTTAGGGTTTTAGGGTTTTAGGGTTTGAGGGTTTCGGGGTTTTAGGGTTTTAGGGTTTGAGGGTTTCGGGGTTTTAGGGTTTTAGGATTTGAGGGTTTCAGGGTTTAGGGTTTAGGGTTTTAGGGCTTTGGGTTTTGGGGTGGTTTCTCAAAGAGGTGGAGCCCTAGAGAAAAACCATAGCTGTCCTTTTCTGTTCGGAATCAGCTAGGGAGTTCTGATGAACTCCCGCATGGATAAGTTCCAAAACAAAAGGCTGAGGTGATGGTTCAAAAATTCAAAACACATTCACATTGGTAAGTAGGCTGCCCCAAAACTCATCATCCATGGACACCCATTCTTATCTGCCACGCTTTAGGTGTCAAAGCCTTCACGGCTGCTAGCACCAAAGATCTCACAGTGGGCCCCAAGGCTCCGAGCCCAAGCCTTGATAACCCCACACATGTAATTGCAATTACAACGCTCCGTCGCCGCGTAAACGCGCGCAGAGAAAGCGCACGCATTGCAGCAGAGGCCAAAAAACATGGTATACGCGGCACTTCGTGCATGCGCACATGCACGCAAACAAGGCATTTTGCGCGTTTACATGGCGACGGGGCCAATAACAATAACAGTTATAATCAGAACAATGGCAATAATATTAGAAATAACAACTATAAGAATAACAATAGTAATACCCTGGTAATTATAGGAATATTAATAATAATGGTAATAGTAGTAACAATGATACAGACAGACCTCTCAAAAGAGCCGGTCCACCCTCAAGCCACCCTAGATCCTGCACACCAACACCTTGAACCATACCACAAAGGCCTTACTGATCAGCACATGAGCTGCAGTCTGAGCCCCTGCAGTCCCCCTTAGTAACGCCAATAGTACTCCCCTATAGAATCCCCTATATGACCATCTTTCAGGAGTTTAGACTATAGCTCATAATCCCAACATAGTCCCAATTGCCATATCATTTTCCATGTTCTTTTCCATTTGATTCTCCACTATTGGGGCATAATATCCCTAAACCCTAAAATGCTCACATGAAATCTGAAACTTACCTGGCGGCTCGCCAAGAACAATGCTGGTGCCTGCGCTCCATATCTGCCAGACGCCGCTGGATTCGACACAGCTCAGCCTGCGGCAAACGGACTTAGCGTTCGGGGAGTGCAGGGCTTAAGGCATAGTACCCTACAAGCACCCACGAAGCTAGTAGAAGAGCTAACATAATGGAACTATGGTGTATGAGTCTCGCGTTGAACGTGACAGTTAAATAAACAACTTGCAAACACCAGTTCGGATTCTTGCTGCCAGAAGAGCGAGACAAGCAGGGCCGCCTAAGCAGCTACTTGCACACCCATCCAATACGTTGCCGAATCACACATGACCTTGCAGTTGTCTAGATTCGGATCTCTTTTGGGATTCTGGCTAAAGTGTCCGAACGCTGGTCCCCCAACCAGGGCAGGGGCATGCATGTGTAAACCTGTTGACTTCCATGACAGCAACAGCAGGCTTGGCATTCATCGCTGTGCTGCTGCAAACGCATTCAACAATCATGATCGGGATGATGGTGATGCGGACGGCAACTTGGGTGATCATCAGCACCATCGGCATCAGCAGCATCACCAACACCACCATCATCAACCAGCATCTTACATGTCCAGAACAAAAAATGAAAAAACGTTGGACCATACACGCTGCTACATGCGGCCATATTGATATGCAAAGTTGGTCTCTTTCAGATGTTCATTTCAGACCAGTGCTCACGAATCCAAGTATTGTTTTTGAAAGTGGGGGAGAGGGACCCCTCCATAATAGCTACTTAGGCCCCTACAAACCTCCAGTATTGGCACAACTCCCTAAACCGTAAACCGTAATCCCTAAAACCGTAAAGCCCAATCCCTAAACCCAGTAGCTGCCTGGGTGTTGGCCTTTCGAAGCTCAGCACCTGCATCAATGACCTGCAGTTGCAATGAGGCGAGTTTGTAGAGTCGGATCCAGTCAGTCGAGTTAGATCTTAGGGTTTAGGGTTGAGGGTTTGGGTTTGAGGTTTTCGGGTTTGAGGGCTTCGCATTTAGGATTTAGGGTGCTGTTCGTGTTGGGAGACAACGTCGGGTGCCCTTGTCGATTTCAAGCACATACACCCTTGGGGATATAGCATCCTACTCCCTCTCGGCAGCCCTCCCATAGGAGTTCAGGGTGCTACCCTTCCAGCCCTGGCTGCTGCCGAAGGAAGACGCAAACACCCATCTGCCTAGATTTGCCCTGAAACCTGGACCCCTTATACAAAGATAACTGAGCCACGGTCTGAACTCCTACTATCCCCCTTTGTATCCCCTATGGTCATCCCCTACATAACCCCCCTTCAAGGAGTTTAGACCCTAAACCCTAATCCCTAAGCCCTATAAAACCCCCTATCCCCTCTTGTAATCCCCCAGATAACCCCCTATATATAAGCCCCTGTAATGAATCTAGATTGGGTACTGTCCCCCGTCAGTAGCAGTTGGATAATGGTTATAATATGGTTTTATATAGCCCTTAATAGGACCCCTAATATAGACTGTTACTGGGTGGGGGCAGTACCCAAATTACACTCTAAATCCTAAATTCCTAAACCCCTGAATGCTAAACCCCTAAACCCCTAAATCCTAAAGCCCTAAACCCTAAACCCCTAAACCCCTAAACCCCTACCCAAAATTATGGCTCACATACTGACCCTGCCTTGGCTGGCTGCGTTAGCCGCTGGGCGACCACCTCCGGCTGGACGAAATCACCAAGGAAAAAACTGGGTTGCTGTTAAGGAACTTAAATTAAGTTACTACATTATCCCCCTATAATGGAGAATCAAATGGAAAAGAAAATAGAAAATGAAATGGAAACTGGGGTAATATAGGGGCTTAAGGAACTTAAATTAAGTTACTGTATAACCATTTTAGGGTTATATAGGGATAAGGGAAAAGCAAATGGAAACTTCCATATTATATAGGGGTTCGATCGGGGTTATATTGGGATTGTCAGGATTCTTGAATAGTTACCATAACCATTCCCTAGAGCAATGGGGTGTTAGCATCCGCAGTCGCGTCGAGAAACAAACTGTCCAGGTGCTGCAAGTCGAGAGGCTTTGTGTTAGGGATTATATAGGGGTTATATAGGGATAATGGAAAAGAATATGAAAACTATTATAGTATCATAGGGTATATTATGTAGGGATCATGGAAAATGAAATGGAAACTAAGAGTACTTTGCAGTGCGTTACCCTCACTTTTCCCTCCACATAGTCGACCTTGCGCCTTGACAGCATTCAAATGTAATAGTTGCGCTTGGTACCCACCACCCTGTCCTGCCCTCCCCCAAGCTAACATGGAAGCCCAAAGGGGGTCCTACAAAGACTGCCATTCCGTTTAAAGGGGTCTGTATGGGTTTCCATGTCAGATTGGAGAAGGGGGATTATGGCAGCCCCTGCAGATCTTGGACCTTGGCAGGCTGTGCAATCTGCTGTTCTAGGGCCACCGATGCCCTCAAAGCTGGATCAGCAGGATTTTCCTGCACACTGATGCTTCAAGAAGAGGGAGTCGGTGGAGGGAGGAACGCTTGCATTCCTTAGGATTTCCAACATCTTGTACTTCCAACGGCAGAAGGTACATGAGCTATAGTCTAAACGCCTAGTATGCCCCTTAAATAACCCCTATAATACTGCCCTATATAATCCCCTGTAGAAGCCCCCCTTTAAGGAGTTGAGATTATGGCTCACATAGAAGTTCAGTGGGTCCCCCGCCCAGCAACAGTTACTACAATGGATAACGAAGACTATCTTAGGGTCCTTTGATATTCCTACTATACCACTATTATAGGGTGCGGGGTCCTCCTAATGTAGAAGGTACATGGGCATCCGCAGAAGGGC